CACACACGAAGGGAGTGATGAGAGTCGTGATCACCAGAATAGTGATATTTTCAACTAATTTACAGCAGTATTTAATTCAGTACTTCCTTAGCCTATGTCTGCTGATATTTATGGATGGCATTTTTACAAATCAGCTCTACCTGATAAGTTAAACAAGAGCAGTGGAGTGTATCCTGGAGCTAGCCGAGCAGCTCAGACCCGACTCGTCTCGAGCCCAACTGTTTCCGTGCAGATTAACCAAGCCGCTCGAACCCAGCTCGATACGAGTCCAAACTGTTTATGGGCAAATAAACCAACAGCAGCTGATGAGTTAGTGAACTGACGTATGAGTCTGAACCGATCGGGTGATGCTATTTTTTTCCCTTTTCTCAGTGTGTTTGCTAGTCTATACAGAGCCCGTGAGGGGGGATTTTTTTCTTTTGCGTTCTCACGCAATACTTTTGCGTTACCTCGCAATACTTTTACATTACCTCGCAAAATTGTTCTGCGTTCCCACGCAAAAGGTTGTTTTGTATATGAACTGAATTAAATCAGACTTATTTTGAAATATCCGGTTACCAAAACAGGATGTGTCTCCACAAGTTTGTGAAATTGACATTGATGTTGCGTGGCTGCACTCTGTTAAAATATCTGCATATGACATACTTCCACGCTTGGCTGTGTAATATATTCACTCTGAAGCTAAATTAAAGTAGTAGGCTAACTCGCTAATGGTGAACATGTGAATATGTTAATAAGCCGGCAGGTACAACAGTGATAAACGACTTTTGCGAGGTAATGCAATACTATTTCGTGGGAATGCAAAAGAAAAAAATCCCCTATACGTGACCGAGAACCGGGGTGGCAGCACGGTAAATAGCTCTGAGGACGGTGTCCGAAATTTCCTTTTAAAACCCTTGTAAAAGCTGTAAATAAGGCTCATAAAGTTTTAAAAGTAACACCACTGTATTATTATTAACAAGGGAAATTGTGGTGATAGAAAGGTTTGCAGACTCCACAAGGTGTCAATACACCATCAAATTGAGAGTGTAAATTTAACACTCAGTTAATATCAAACTCAGAAATGTTGCATTAACACTTAGTAATTAGAAGAAAAGTGTAATGGAGCCACCCTTCACACACCAGGACAGACCTCTCACTCATGGTGTCGGTTTTTTGGCCAATAACATAAACTTAAAGTTGAACAACTTGATAAAACTGAACAAGAAAACCAACAAGAACAACTAATTTTTACTCTCATGAATGTCTTTAATAGTCATAAACATGCRAAAACATCATTTCTGCAAGATTTCTCAGCAAGGAATGCTGGGTAAATACTGGTCTGTCTGACATGAGGTTGAAGAGGGCGGGGCTTTTCAGAATACTTCTTTCAACACTGCATGGTGTTATATAACAACACTGTTAAGTGTAATATAAGACTTAACTGTGGGCATAGCTTATTTAACACTGTCCAGTGTTGATACAACACTGACGAAACCAACACAGTGAATTAACACCAACACTGGGTGTCAGTTTACTCAAAAAGTGTTAAAATAACACTAGGGGTGTTAAATCAACACCCAAATGTTTATACTGAAATTTTAACACTCCTGTTTTGCACACCGGCAGCAGTGGAGAGGAAATATTTGTGTTAAATTTAACACTCTGTGAGTTAAATTAACACTTTGGATTTTGTTGTGGTATCTGGAAAGAGTGAAATGGTATTGGTAAAAGAGTTTATTTATACTCCTAAAGCAGGGTTGTCAAACTCATTTTCACCGAGGGCCACATGAGCGTTATGGTGGCCCTCGAAGGGCCACTTGTAATGAACTTTGATGTTTCATGTTTAACTTTGACTTAACAGAGTTTTAACACGTCCTCTTTTAAACACTGATAAGAACTAAGTGTATGACTAACTAAATCTGTAATAAATACAGAAATATTATTAAAAGTAAAACAAATACATTTTACTCACTGATGAGTGAGTAGCTGCATTATGGCAGATTTGGTTTATGATTGATGGTGACTTTAAAGCAGCTTATTTTCAGACATTAGTACTGTGCTATCCAACTAAATTGCTCAGTTACTTAAAGCCAACAGCTCAGGGACAGGAATTTTTTAATTTTTATTTTTATTTCATTTATTTTTATTAAATTAATTTTGTTGCATTTAACCGTAAATTTAAAGTTTACCATAGATATAAGAAACAAATTTAATGTTAAGTTAAATAAATAATTTCAGGTATGTACCTGTGAGGTTAGGTTTAGGGTACGGGGTTAGGGTTAGGCTGTAGAAATGACCAGTAAATGAATGGAAGTCAATGCAAAGTCCCCATGAGGACAGATGAACCAACATGTGTGTGTGTGTGCACTGGGTGTAATTGGTGGAACAGAATGACTGAGTTAGTCTGGAGTGAAGTGCAGTTAATTGAATGAGCTGACGGGTCAAGCAGCTGTGGGAACACAGGTTTCTGCTCCCACAGACACAAAATCAGAGTGTGTCTGCAGAGGGATGTTCAGCTGGGTGACCTGTCTCCTGGTCTCTGTGGGTCTGCCTCTTCAGTCATTATGGTTGCCATGGGGAAGAGAGGAGGCTTGCTTTGGCGGCCTATAATTTCTGGAGAGTCTTTCAGGAAGTGACATGTCCTTTTCAGCTGCTGCTATGGTTTGTTGTTGATTTACGTGTGTTTGTTGCCTTCCCCCCCACTCCTACTGCCCACCTCCAGCTGGAGGAGGAAATGTTTTCTGATAAACACGAAACTGAAATTTAGTTGGAAATATTTAATTAGAATTTCCCCTGGTGGGTTTGAAGAAACAAGAATACCAATATCACTCACAAAGTTTTATGTTTTGCAGCACGGTGGTTTAGTGGTCAGTGCCTCAAAGAAAGAAGGTCCTGGATTCAAGCCCTGGTTTGGACCTGTGGAGAGTACATGTTCTCCTCATGTGTGTGGTTTTCAGTCTAAAAACATAATGCCAGTGCAGTCCGGTTCTCCTGATTAAATAAAAGGTTAATTATCTTATTATGATAAATGATGGAGTAGAAAGTGTTTTAGTTAAACATAACACATAACATGAGGTGTAATCTCATGTTATCCTTAGACCACATCTTATTTCATCTCAATATTTGTAAAAGTCACTGAGTTAGAAGCATTTGTGTTGATTGCTAACATGATTCAGTTAGATGTGAACGTGAGTTTTAGTACTTTCAGATTTATTAAATATTTTGCTAACAGACAACAGTCAGGGATCTGAGAGTCTCTTAGCAAATGCAAACAACTGAACTAGAAAAATCCCAGATAACAAAAATATGAGTGAATCAACGTTGAAAAATGGTCAGGCATGATATTGAATCCATGTTAAAATTATGCAAAAAATGGTCAGTGACTTACTTATTGAAACAATGTTAAGTTTTCAACCATAACTGATACTACATCAATGTTAATTCAACATTGATAAGATATTTCAATCATTAAAATTCGACCTTGAAATAACATTGATTCAAAAACATTTTTTCAACGTTGGTTATTTGTCTAGAATTGGATGATTGTTTGATGGTTGATTCACCATCAACCTTAACCAAAAATACACTTTTTTTGACCATAATTCAACATTGAAAAAACTTTTTTTGCTATTTGGGTTTGCATTTCCCATGAAAATGCTACCTGGTGTGAATGCCTATTGCTGAAAACAAAGCTGCTGGAATGGAGCTGAAAATATTTAATAGCAAAACATTTAATGAGTTCAATTTTAAAAGTTTAAAGAAGCATAAAAGCACAATAAAGCTGAAAAGAGCAGAAAGATAGCTGACAAAGYAAATAGAAGAYCAAATTAGCATACAGACAAGCTAAAGACACAAGTTGACACAAGCTGAAAATAGCATCCAGATAGTGAAACGGGTATAAAAAAAATGTCGAACTAGCAGAAAAACATAATAAAAGTACAAAAAAATATGTTTTCTTGTATAATAGCTAAAACATCCCATAAGTGCAGTAAAACAGCTAAAATGTAGTAAAAATTCTTAACACATGGAAGCACAAGGAGCACAGGTTTGCTGAACTAAGTAAAAAGACGCTGAAAAAGCATCCAAAATATGAATTTAGCTAAAAAAAAGCTAACTGTAGCTAATAATAATAATAATAATAATAATAATAATAATAATAATAATAATAATAATAATAATTAGCTAAAATTGCAGCAAATAGCTGAAGAAAGCAAAAATTCAATTCAATTCAAAAATACTTTATTGATCCCAAAGGAAAATTACAGAAAGCCTAAATAGCTCAAGCTGGCAGACGCCCCTCCCCCCACACACCCCACAAACAAGTAGAAATTATCAAAAGAATTGCAGAAAGAAGCAGAGTTATAGCAGAAATAAAGCTAAAATTAGTAAAAAAAAAAATTTAAAAAGTAGCTACTGTGTAAAGTTGAAGACAGCTCCATTCCTTTTCAATGGGAGAAATGTGGCCAAAAAAACTGAAAAAGACATTGTGAAATGTTCACATTGTTAAAGCCAGTTACTGATTGTAGCAGCCATAATGAGTTTGAGTTTAAAGTTAACTGGCAGAGGCAGATGGCTGCCCATCCTGAGTGTGGTTCTGGTTCTACAGCACCCTGACACAATGTTTGTTATGATTTGGTGTTATCTAAATAAACTGAATTGAAGTCGATCAGTTGAAGATGTACATCAGTGATTATTATTTATCCATCTAGCATCCCAAGAAATAACCTCAGAGGCAAAAGAAACAAAAACAAATTCAGCTTTTGTTTTTCTTTTTGTTTGTCCTCCCTTCAGTTCTCCCCCCAGTCAGCCCATCTCTCTTCCCTCCCACAGGCGTTCCTCCAGCACATCCAAACCCAATCACAAGTCAGCCCTGCTCCCGTCCTTCGTGGTTAGCCTGCTGTTTTCACAAGTTCTTTTTTTTTGTCCTGTTCCCCCTCACGCAGCCACTTGAGCCTGGAGCAGACACAGAGGTTTCAGTGAGAGGGAAGCAGAGGAAACCATGCAGAGAGGGAAACAGCCTGATCTCTGACCACCACCACCTCTGTGTTTGTCTGATTCCCGTAGCGACACCCTGAAGAGGACACATCCAGAAGCAGACTTCAGCTCAGGACGTAAGGACAAACAGGAGAAAGAGGAGAACTGCAGAATGCAGAGAGGAAAGAGATGCTCATAAGAACCTGACGGTGAAAAGAAAAGTGAAACAAAGACAAAAAGACTGTTCTCAGAAAGGCCGGTCCACTAGAGACACCTTGTTAAACGTTTGTAGCAAGAAAAAGGCTGATCAGACAGAAACCAGACGAACCAAGTCAGGATGGCCAACTCAGGTCTCCAGCTGCTGGGGTACTTCTTGGCTCTAGGCGGCTGGATTGGTGTCATCTCCACCACGGCGCTGCCACAGTGGAAGCAGTCATCCTATGCTGGAGACGCCATCATCACAGCGGTGGGTCTGTACGAGGGGCTGTGGATGAGCTGTGCCTCTCAGAGTACTGGGCAGGTGCAGTGCAAGATCTTTGACTCCATGCTCTCATTGGACAGTGAGTATGACCACAAATGTTCTCTTTCCTCTGAGCAAACACTTTATGTCAAAAAGGCATTTCTCTGCTTCCTTCAGATGTTTTCTAACATTTAACTCACTTTGTCTCCTGGCTGATTTCATTTGATCTCATTATTTTAAAAGTTGTCCTCCCAGTTATTCCTCTGAGACAGTGATTGTAGTTCACATAAGTCCACCCTCCTCGTGTGATAAATGTTGTCTGAGGCTGCAGAAGTTCCCAAGCTGTAACTTTAATTTAGACTGTAGACTACAGTTGTGTATGTAGAATGAGTGAATAAAAGAGGGAGAGGGTGAGGAATGTTGGCTTCTAACATAAATTAGCTCCAAATATGAGCCTCCTGTCATCTCTAATCTAAACCCAAGGACCCAGTGACTCCTAATTAATGACACAGATTACAGGAATCCACTCATTAAACATCTGCGTAAATCATTCTTTCACTGATTTCTTTGAGAGGTTGTGAGGGCGTTAGAGAAGAGAGGAGGGGCTCCAGCCAGAAGGCATTTTTAACAAAACAAAAAGTGTTTTCTTTGTGGTCTCATTATTCAATTCTAATCAGTTTTATTCATACAGAGCTGATTCACAATAAAAAAAAACAACAAGTTCACAGTCATTTAGAAACAGAACCTAATTCTAACTTAATTACAATCAGTTTAATCCAATATATTCACATACAGTAAGTAAAGATCATCTTTGTGTTGGTGTGATGCTCCAGCTCAGGATGAGCAGCTGAGGCGGGCTTTGAGTCGACAGAACAGAAACACAAACTGATTCTTTAGGAAGWAAAATATAGAAACACGTTATTGATAGAAATAATTAAACAAACATATAGAGAAGAGAGACTAAAGACAGCAGCAGATTTAGGAAATACGGTCAGTTTGTCCTCCAGCAGTCTAAGTCTATAGCAGCAGAACTAAGGAATAATTCAGGAAACCTAAGTCTAACTATAGGATTTATCAAAAAGGAAAGTCTTCAGTCTAATCTTAAAAGTAGACAGAGTGTCAGCCTCACGGAYMGAAACTGGAAGTTGGTTCCACAAGAGAGGAGCTTGATAACTGAAAGCTCTGCCTCCCATTCTACTTTTAGAAACTCCAGGAACCACAAGTAAACCTGCAGTCTGAGAGTGAAGTGCTCTGTTAGGAAAGTATGGAACAATAAGATGTTTAATATATGATGGAGCTTGGTTGTTGAGAGCTTTGTATGTTAGGAGTAATATTTTAAATTCTATTCTGAATTTGACAGGGAGCCAGTGGAGAGAAGCTGAAACTGGAGAAATATGATCTCTCYTTCCAACTCTCATTAAAACTCTAGCAGCAGCATTTTGGATTAACTGAAGACTTCTTAAAGAGYTTTTCGATGCCCAGATAATAAAGAATTACAGTAATCCAGTCTAGATGTGATAAATGCATGGATCCGTTTTTCTGCATCACTTTTGGACAAGATGTTTCTAATTTTAGTGATATTACACAGGTGAAAGAAGACAAACATTTTTAATGTGGGGGTTAAAAGACATATCCTGATCAAAAATAACACCAAGGTTTTTTTTTTTACGTTAGAACTGGAGGCCAGATTAATGCCATCCAGAGGAGGTGAAAGGCTGCAAAGTTTAGTCCTAAGATGTTCAGGTCCAAAAACCACAACCTCTGTCTTATCTGAGTTTAGAWGCAGAAAATTAAGAGTCATCTAGGTTTTTATGTCTTTAAAACATCCTGGCTTTCGACAAGTGAGACAGTTTGCAAACACTGAGCTTCCTCTGACAGTCATCAGATCTACTGAGCGTCTCTGATGGGCAGCAGGACTGATGTGTGGCTAACTGCAGCAGTGAGAGCAGAGTATTGTCCTCCTGCATGAATAGACAATGTTAAGAGAAGAAAAGGGCAGTGTTGAGCCAAACACCAGAGATATTCCCACAATGTGCTCTGTCCTCCCCACACACTCACACTGTTCCAGTTGTTTAATAACACAAACACTGACTGTATCTACATGCTGCATGCAGCCTTCTCCTCCATCCCCAGGCTTCTTCAGGTGTTCTCAGAGAAACTTGTCCAACTTGAACTGAACGTTGTTTTTGTTGAGCGGTCAGACAGCCATGGGGGGCCGGTCTCTTCTGGAAGTGTTCTCAGCAGGAGCGGCATGTGACGGCCCACTGATTTGTTCACCAGACTGTGTTCATTCTGTTGCTGCTGCTGCTGCCTGTGAAAAGTAGTGGAAAGAAATGCTGCTATACTGCTGCTTTCCTCAGGAAGAGGAGGAAGCTGAGCAGACTGACTGCTTCTCTCAGATCTGGAGATGGTGCTGAAAGGAGAGCTCTTTGGATCCTGGAGGTGAATGTTTGTGTCACAGCTGACCGACTCCTGACCAGTCTGATCCGTCATGTTTAGAAAAGACACCCAGCTCTATTTATCATTAATATATTTACATTTCTCTGCTGCTCTCTGCTTACTAAAGCATTTTTTTATTTCATGTTCACATAACATTAAATGATAATACAAAATAAAACTCAGAAATTCAGTGTATGAGTAGATGTTCCTGTTTGGTTACTTCTGTTGATACAAACAAAGAAAAAAAAAGAAATAAAAATTACAAATTAATAATAAAAACATGCAAAGGAAAAATAAATTAATAAAGTTGCTTAGGATTTTGTTTTAATTTTCTCACGTCAATGA